ACTCTGTCTCTCATTTTATAGATGACAAAATGAGAGGGCAAATGGCTTGTCAAAATCACCCACCAAGCTAGTGGCAGTCAAATCAGTGTTGGACTCAGGCTGCTACCACACTGCAGAATTAATGTCGTTTCCCACTGCTTTATCAGTCATGGCTCTATCCTATGGAATCTTGGGATTTGGAGTTTGTTGTGGCACCAGAGTTCTCTTAGAGAGGAGGTTAAATGTTTCATAAAACTGCAAATCCTAGAATTCTATAGCATTGAGCCATGGCAGTTAATGTAGGGCAGGGGTAGGCAACCTTTCCCCTTTAAGGGCCGAGGGACTTCAGCTCCCAGAATCCCAGGAGCTATTGGCCAACATGGGACTATTGGCCAACATGGCTGAGGCTTCTGGGAGCTGAAGTCCCTCGGCCCTTAAAGGGGAAAGGTTGCCTACCCCTGATGTAGGGTAAAACTGCATTAACTCTGCAGTGTAGATGCAGCCTGGGTCTTAGAAGATCAAGCTTCTAGTTCCCATAGAATCATTAAACTCATTGGGTGATCTCAGGTCAGTCAAACACCCTCCCACACAATTCATCTCTCGGAGACTAAACTAGCTCACAGTTAAGTTTACTTGTGAGGATGAAGTAGGGAGAAAGAGAGCTATGTCTACTGTCTCCAACTCATTGGTGATGATTATAATATAAATATAAGGAATAAATTAATAAGACTAATAAACATGTTTGCTGTCAAGGAATACAGAGCACAGATGATCATAATGTGTACTAAAGTATTAAGTAAATTATTGTCTTGACATTTTTTAATGAAATGCACAGATTCTTGTAATGTGTACTAAAGTATTAAGTAAGTTATTGTCTTGACACTTTTTTTTAAAAAGGAACAATTGATCTGTCAACACTGCCGACATAATCCAGTTTGATACCACTTTAGCTGCCATAGCTCAATGCTATGGAATCCTGGGAACTATAGTTTTGTGAGATATTTAGCCTTCTCTGTCAGAGAGCTCTGGTGCCACAAAAACTACAGTTCCCAGAACTCAGTCATGGCAGTTAAAGCAGTGTCAAACTGGATTCTGTAATGCTGATGCAGCCAATGAAACATTTAACCATGACAAAATTAATTTTTTGGGCTACATCTCCCAGAATTCTCCAGCCAATATGGCCACCAAACTGATTGGGGGATCATGGGAGTTGTTGTCCCGCTCCAAAAAAATATTCTCCCCCAGGTTTGGCATTTAACTTTCCACACACAAATTCCACATTACAGAGTAAGACAAAGTGAAAAAAGGCCTGAGGCTCCTTCTCTGATCAAGGCAGTTGTCCTTTGACTCCAGATTTATTAGCAAGCCATAGAAAAAACTTATCATCACCCAAGATCATGTGAAAGGGAAACCTGGAGCCAGTCTGGAAAAGCTGCAAACAAACATTTGCAATCTGGGGATTAAAATGTGGGAGGGGGATGGATAGTAGTGTTAATGTAATGAATGCAAAATGCCTCATAATGAACACAGAAGGGCCCCCACTCCACCCCAAGAAAATTTATTTTCTGCAAGGAGGACAAAACTCAGTCCAGAGTCCCTTCCCTCATGATTAACATCCTGGGAAGACAGCTTTCCTTCCACTGAGCTCCAGGAAAGAGTTCTGTTTACAAGAAGAGCACTTGGTTGGAAAGTGACTACCAACCTGGAAATAGATTTTATTGAGAATCCAGACCTTGGAAACTGGGTTTGTTTTTGTAACAACTCCCCAAATCCGCCAAACAGCATATCCAATGGCCAACCAGTCCAAAATATCTTTTTGTCCCCAAAAACTGCTAATGATCAGCTCTCTTATAAAATCATGACATAGAGGCAGCCCCACAGCCAAGATTTCAGTGGGGGCAGCCTGCATCATGAATGAGACAGGCACTTATGTAGGAAGTAGCAAAAGCAAAGCAGCTTCATTTATATACCGCTTCATATCGCACTATGGGATGTCTAAGCGGTTTACAACTGTAAGCTCATTGCCCCCCAAGTAGGTGTGTGGTGATACTGGCAACTACATTATTAAATAATATATCTACTTTATTAAATTTATTACAACTGAGCACTAAAAGAGCACTATTCCCCATCACCATGTACAGATGTGGGAGTTGGGCACTGAAGAAAGGGGATAGGAAGAAAACCAATTCATTTGAGATGTGGTGCTGGAGATAATTTGTCTAATTTATTAAATTTATTATAACTGGACACTAAAGTCAGAATCATCCAAGCCATCCTATTCCCCATTACCATGTACAGATGTGAGAGCTGGACAGTGAAGAAAGGGGATAGGAAGAAGATCAATTTATTTAAGATGTGGTGCTGGAGACAAGTGATGAGAATACCATGGGTGGCCCAAAAGACACACAAATGGGCCCTGGAACAGATCAAGCCTGAAATCTCCTTGGAAGCCAAGATGATCAAACTGAGACTGCCCTACATTGGCCAAATCATGAGAAGACACAAGTCGCCGGAAAAGACAATAATGCTAGAAGAGATGGAGGGAATCAGAAAGAGAGAAAAATGCTAGATGGATGGACTCAAATAGAAAGATCACAACTATAAATTTAGAGGACCTAACCAAAGAAGTGGAGAACAAGGGGGCTTGGAGAAGTCTCATCCACATGGTCCCTATGAGTTGGGGTTGACTCAAAGGGCAGTTCACAGCAACAAAGCTTATTATTAAATTAACCCTCCACCAGGAGATAAATACAGATATTCTCTTGTCCAGACTGCCTAAACCTCTCCCCACATCAGCCATTCTCTTCTGTTGGCAGAGTCCTCTAAAATACAGTTGGCCCCCCATATCCATGGATTCCTTAACCATGGATTGAAGCATCCATGGCTTGAAAATATTCCAAAAAAGTATAAATTCCAAATAGCAAACCTTGATTTTGCCATTTTATATAAGGGACACCATTTTACTATGCCATTATATTTAATGGGACTTGAGCATCCATGGGTTATCCATGGGGGTTTGTCCTGGAACCAAACCCCAGCTGATACCAAGCCCCCACTTTAGTCTGTTACCCTCAGGAAGCATGAATAATACTCACTCATAACCATTTTTGTTAAACATTTGTATTTACTTTATATAACAAACAAATACATGAAATACAATTTTAGTAGGTAAGCATGAATAGGCTGCATGAATAGATACATTGCATCAGGGCTTCAAGATCAAGCCCAGGGTTAGGCAACCTAAGGCCCGGGGGCCGGATGCGGCCCACCGAGGCCTTTGGACTGGCCCCAGGCTGGTCCTGCAGCCACCCACCGCCTGCCATGATGATATTGATTATTGTTGTTATTACTTGTTCTTGGGGTTTTCTTGGCAAAATCTCCACAGGGGTTTTGCCATGGCTTTTCTGAGGCTGAGACAGTGTGCATGCATATTTTTTAAAAAAAATTATTTTTATATTTATTTATTTATTTATTTTTGGCGCTTTGGCCCCCCAATTGTCTGAGGGACAGCAACCTGACCCTCGGCTCAAAAAGGTTGCCTACCCCTGATCAAGCCCCTCATGGTTTGGGTCCAGGTTATTTGAAGGACCACCTCTCCCTTTATGAGACTTGTAGAGCTTTAAGATTGTCTGGAGAGGGCCTTCTCTTTGTCCCAACACCTTCTCAGGCTTGCTGTCCTTTCGGCGGCAAGTATAAAAATTTGTATGTCATCTGGCTTTTTCAAACTGATGAGGGTAGGGTGTTGTGCAACTCAGATTTTAATGTTTGTATAGAGTTTTTAATGTTGTTTTGTGCCTTCAATTTATTACCAACTTATGGTGAACCTATCATGGGGTTTTCTTGGCAAATTTCTTCACAGGGGGTTTGTCATTGTCATCCTCTGAGGCTGAGCGAGTGTGACTTGACCAAGGTCACCCAGTGGGTTTACATGGCCAAGCTGGGATTTGAACCCTGGTCTCCAACATAGTAGTCTGACATTCAAACCACTACGCCACACTGGCTCTCATTTTAATATTCTAAATGTTTAATGCAGGGGTAGGCAACCTTTCCCCTTTAAGGGCCGAGGAACTTCAGCTCCCAGAAGCCTCAGCCATGTTGGCCAATAATCCCGTGTTGGCCAATAGCTCCTAGGATTCTGGGAGCTGAAGTCCCTCGGCTCTTAAAGGGGAAAGGTTGCCTACACCTGGTTTAATGTTTTTAACCTTATAAATCATTTATTTGTTTTTAAACTTTATACTTTTTAATGCTTTTGTATTGTTTTTTAAATTTTGTATTGCTTTTAAATTTGCTTTGAGTCCCTATATTGGGAGAAAGGTCGGATATAAATAAAATAAAGTAATAAAATAAATATATAAGACCAAGAGGATAAAAACAATACAACAGGAAGCAGTGGTGTGATTTCATATCAACACATCATTCCACAGATTATCAACATGTTGCTGGCAGAAAGTAATCAGTGCTGTTATTGTTTGCTTGTGAAATAAAAGGATTACCATTACTAATCATTATGTTTTGATTCAATCGTAGAGCAGAGATAAGAAAAATAGTGGGGAAAAGTGAATTCACTTAATGTATCATTAATAAGCAAAAAAAAAAAAAGGCTCATTCAACTGTATTTATGTTACAAGGGAGGATGTAACTTTTTAAATGAAAAATCGTCATTTCAATTTAAGTCAAATGGTTTCATTAAAAACCCAGCTGGAAAGAAGCTGAAAATTCCTATCCATGGTTTTACTTCCCTCTCCCCTCACTTGTGCATCTTTAGAGTTTGGAGGAGAAGGTAAAAGCTTTGTGAATGTCAGATGAGGAAGAAGAGGACTCAAAGTAATAATCTCCATATGAACCCCATATAAACCTGCCAGAGCTCTAGATCTTCAGGGGAAGCCTTACTCTTGGTCCCTTCTTTTCCAGAACATGAGTTCCTGCATGGCAGGGGGTTGGTTGGATGGCCCTTGTGGTCTCTTCCAACTCTGTGATTCTATGATTTTATGTTCTACCTTCTGTCCAGGAGGAGTTTCAAAATGTCCTCCATTTGGAACATGACTAGGAAGCATGAAGTTAAATTTCTATTAGAGTTTTTAGCTTTTATTTTATAACATCCTGCATTTTTCTTCCATGTTCTACATTTTGTGGTGCCTTGTCCTCCCTTGTGGCAATGACATCTGGTCACCCTGGGCCACCATCGCAGGCTCGCTCGATGAGGACACTTGGAGAGAGAGCCTTCTTGGTGGTTGCTCTGACCCTCTGGAAGTCCCTCCTATGAAAGGCTAGACTGCCTCCCTCCATGCTTTCCTTTCAGGAGCAGGCAAACCCTTCTTTCCCCCCAAGCAGACTTTTAATACGTAATTGTGCCCAGAGAGGCTTCTTATTGGGGTCCTTGCTTGAGTATGTTTTTAATGGTTTTGTATTTTTAACTTAGGGCCAAAATGGATGGCTGGAAGGGGCGTCTTGAAGCCCCTTAGTGTTTTAAAGGATTTTTACATTTTTGACTGTTCTAGTAATGTGGTGTTTGAATTGTGTTTTAAATTTGTAGCATTTTGTTGTTGTTGTTATCCATCTTTTGTGAACTACCTTGAGTCCAATTTGGGAGCAAGGTGACATATAAATAAAATAAACAAACAAGCAAACTTCAGTTGGAGATAGAGGAGGCAGGCGGTCATGGTCCAGAACTGTCGAGAACAGAATCTGAACCATCTCATGCAGCTTCTGAAGCGCCATGAAAGCAGGAGGCAGATGCTGAACTTCTTCTGAACTTTGTACACATTGGTCTTCTCCAGGTAAGGCATAATATCCACAAATGCCCCCTTCCTGTTAGCAAAAAAGACCTCTCCTGGCTCTAAAATGGCTTAGAGAGAAACAAAAACCTGGCAGTCTTGCCCTCACCCCACTCCCTAGGCGGCATTGAAGGGCCATAAAGGATTATGAGAGGCTGCGGTGATGGTTGCCGTCCTCCAAGGTTCCTGAAAAGGATTTTACATTTTAGTCACTTCTGGTACAAACTGTCACAAAAATAAAGGACATAATGAGCTGATTTTCTCTACATCACGCACTTAGGCACCAATGATGAGACTGACAAAATTTCATCCCTTCTTCCTAATAACTTCTGGATGATAATTATTATTTTACTATATCCCCTCATAAGGCGCAATCTGCAGACTTCTACAATATCAGGTATTCGGAGGGTCAAGAAACACTGGGAAAAATGTGTAAATCTGGATCATGATTACGTAGAGATAAGTTAACAACTACAAATCAAAATAAACTTTCTGTGAAAAAAATGTAAAGGTGAAAATTAAAACTTCACGATACCCCCTCATATGCCTAGAGAAGTGTTCTCCCTAGGAATCATCTTCCAGCACAACATCAGACGCAGATTGGCCATAGAGTCACGCTGGAGGACAGAGATTCTTGGAGAGAAGATATTAATCAAATCTACAAATAATCACATCACAAAAGTCAAAGCTGCAATTGTGGAGGGTAGACTATATTTTACTCTCAAGTAGCACTTACTGTCAATGTATTTTAATGTTTAGGTGGAATCTTTTTTTGTACTCTGAATCATCTTCTAGTTTTTGGAGCAGCATAAAACTAGCTCACTCCCATCTCCTATAGGACATCCCTTAAGATGTTTAAATATACTTATCATATCATTTCTCCATGATGTGAGAGGGGATAGGATAGGATAGGCATCTTACTGAGGAGTGAGATGTCCTGAACTCACTGGAATTTGGCACAGAGAATCAAGCTGCATGATTAATTTTACATTGTAATGGTGAACATGAGATATTGTATCTGGAAGGTAGTTAGCAAAATCAGCAGAACAAATGTATCAGGCGAAGTGTGGATTAATGATTATATTATAGGTTGGGTTAAAGTGCAGATAAACTGGAAGGAAAGGTGGACCCATGTGTTGTAATGCTTTAAGAAACACTATATCTTGATTAGCTTTTAACGTATTTCTCAGCTCAGAAACTGCCTCCTCCGTGCTTATCACATGGCGAAGGACTAGTAGCTGTGCTTTGGGCCAAAGAAGACAAACACCTTTCCTGCAGTCCCTAGATCGGTGATCAGAAGATTAATGTTACACATGTGAATTGTGGAGCTTGTGGCAACAAGAATGTCTGAATAACACCCAGTGTAAAATTGCATTGGTTGGAGAAAAGAGATATTCTTTTACCTATGTTGTGCCACAGTGTTACCAGGCCTTTTGGGAAGGAATGTTTTCAGTTTTGAGATGCAATGAATAGGAACTGCTGATGCCTGCCATCATCTCCTCAGAGGCCAGGTCAATCCTGGACATATTCAGTTAAATTGTTAAGTTTCTTTAAGGTCAGATGTTGTTCTGTGTTCCAAGAGATTACAATAAATAATGGGCTCGTCCAAATAGAGAAAATGTGTTGCCAGTATTTCTTGCTTTGTTTTTTTACATACCGGTACTCTCCAACTGTCCCAATTTGGCAGGGACAGTGCCTATTAATTCTCTGTCATCCCACTTTTTCAGTCCGATTTAAAATGTCCCAGTTTCTCACCTCTTCTTCCACTTCCCCACTTTGTCCTCAGCTTACATCAGTTGCTGCATACTGACTTAAAAGTGCAAAAGTAGTAGTTTGTACTCAGTTAGCAGGGGGGATAAAAGGGGGGAGACTCTTGCCCTTCCCAGGAGGCTCAGACAAAAGCAAGCTGTTGCTTGGGTGTTCTTCCTTACTATGTTTGGTCATCGTGGCAACATTCTGATGGTGCTTGGTCACACATGTCCTAGTTTTCATTTATGAAAGTTGGAGGGTATGTTTTTTCTCCAGAAAGTGTTTACTATTGATGGAGTGCTCCAAGCTTTCTCTTCCTTTTCTGAGCTATTTTGTTCCTCTCTTAAGAGTGTCACTTTAAAAAATACATTTGCTAGCCACATAAGTCACATAAATTCTTTAAAAACATAATGTGTGAGAGCATTACAGGTAAGGTTCTCAATCCTTACCTGCCTGACAGAGCAGTTTTGCCCACATGCTGCAGGCTGCTTCTCAGACGCTCTTCTGCCTCTCTTCTGAAGTCTTGATCTCTATCAAACAGGAATGTGCTCCCTCCTTCCCTCCCTCTGTCTTCCCAGGGCATATTTTAAAATCCCTAAACAGGTCTTAAGTGGGCATAAATACCCTAAATGGACCAGATACTGTTTGATTTTGGAAGCTAAGCAGGGTCAGCTCTGGATAGTACTTGGATGGGAGCTACCAATGAATACCAAGTGCTGTAGGTTATATTTCAGAGGAAAGACATGTGTGAACAAGCACCAGCAGAGTGTTGCCAAACCACCTGAAAATCACCTGAATATTCCTTGCCTGATATCCATGGAATCACCATGATGACAAACAACTTGAAGGCGCACACAGAGACATGAACAAGTCCCTTCATATCCTTGGCATGTAGGCTCTGGAACTCCATCACTTAATGAAAACCAAATTGATCCCTTTCCAGAGCAGGATCTTTTCTGTTGTATCCCCATTGTTCTGAATTTTTTCACACATGCATCTATACCTTTATTTATATTCCATCTTTTCCCCAAACTTCGAGTCAATGTAGCTTGCAAAAAGGGTTAGAATAGAATAAAAACACTTATAATTAAAACATACAAAATTAAATTTAAAACAGTATTAAATGACAACAGAATTAAAACCATTTAGGAGTTTATCACATGGGAAGCCCTGTGCAAAATCACTCTTTAAAGTAAAAAACCCCCACAAAAGCGGAAGCTTTTAATGAATGGGATTTCTCCCGTTCTGCCCTGTGTGAAAAGTGAAAGCGCTGTTAAAAGCAGGTTAATCTGAGTGGAAATTAGACAAACACTGCTTCTTTTTACTTTCGCGATATTCCGAAAGTAAAATGAAGCAGTTTTTGTCTAATTTCTGTTTGGATTAACCTCCTTTTAACAGTGACGTCGTCTGAAACAACACCCGCTTTTGCTCGTGTTGTTTAATTTATTTCCCCCGTGTGATAAACTCCTTAAATTTCG